ATATAGACAGGGTCAGTATATCCTCGAAAATGAATCAAAACCGAGGAGTGTTATTTTTTCTTTGTAAATGATCCGCAAGTCCCACCTAGCCTTCTCGATAGATTACACGACGGCAGCATAATAATTCTGATATAGTGGCCTAACTTTTTATCTAGCCTCATATGTATTTCCCTTTATCTTATTTGGCAATATTCTAAAAGAATTGTCAACCCGTCCTTTTGCATAATTATTCCGAACCAGAATCCCCCTTAATTTTCTCTATTCATGGTCCAGATGTTTACCATCTTCCAGACACAAGTTTCTCATTTTTCTAGACCTCATAGCTCCTACTTTAACCTCATAAATAAGTTGAAAAATAAAATAAAAAGGGAACCTGCATTTCTAGGTTTCCTATACACATCTAAATCTGATCTAGTCCCGTATTTGCTAACTAGGTAAGCCAACGTTTCCTAACTCGATGGTGAATTTCGTCTTCCCATCGATCCTGTTAAGCAAAATAAGAAAATTCTTCATGTTTTTTTTGTCATTCGCTTCTTCAAACAAAATGAAAGGTACTTTAGGATCTATTAATGGATTCTTCGAAAGTCAATTGTTATAGATACTACAGATAAGGTATGCTGTAGGATAGTGAAATGATGGATAAAAGGCACTAAATTAGTGTAGGACAAAAGGAAGCATGATGCTAGCGAAATTAATATAGGTAACTACCAGCGCGATAAAATAGAAATAAATCTGAACCTATAGTAAATCAAGGAAATCCTCATTAACCAATGACATGGCAGTATTTGTAAGAAAAATATTATACCTTAAAATAATACAACTTTATAAACATATAGTAAACAAAAACTAGAAATTCTACCTTATCATAAAACTCAAATATCAGATGGAAGGCGACCTCGCCAGAACCAAATTGAAGGTCTACAACTCTGTCAAAACCAAGCTGCACTATTTCAGTGAGCCGTTTGTTTTTAATGTGTTTTCTAAGCTGGGAAAAAAATGCAACACAGTTTATGGAAATGTAGGCGAATAATTTGAATAAACAATAACTTTAGCTCTTAAAGACTAAATTAATAATAAGGATTCTAACTTTCGCTGTAAATCCAGATGGAATTAAGTTTTTTGGCCATTCAAAGTCAGTTATATGAATTCTGGAGCCAGCTTGTAGCAAAAGTATATGTTTGTCATTAGAGGGACTAGAAATTAAAAGAAAATTCATACCCAGAAAATTTAATCAGATATGTCTTTGTATTTATATCATATATATTGATGACGCGATGGTTGAGTAGACTTAAATATAGAACAAATAAAAAAAATTACATATGTCTTATCTCCGAAAGAGCGACCAACAAATCAAAAGAAGAGAAGCGGAGTTTCATGCTAAATCAAAATCACCACAAGTGAGAGAAGAGAACAAACAAGTATAATGTCAATTTTTATCTACCTCAAAGCCATCAGGTTAAAAATGAAAACATAAAAGATTACGAAATATATTTTTATAGTATATTATAAGTTTTTCTTCATGAACTTCGCTTAAAATCCCGAGGAACTATAATTCATGACAAGAATACCGCTTAATGTAATCGAGATATAATTTAGTAATAAGCGATAACCAAAATAATGCATTTATCTAGTACGTTTTATATTTTTAATATTTTATTACAATTATATATTTGCTTTTCAATAATCATATCTCATTGAATCTGTCTGTCAGGATGTTTCATTAAGGATTCATGGATTGTTAGGTGAATTTCTTTAAGATTTATGCTAAGAAATAAGTTCAAATGTGGTAATTATTTAGCTTAGATAGCAGACGACTTTTAGAAACCACTAACTCACCAGAATTTCGGGTGCTTTCTATAAATAATCATATTTATTCCGATATTTCCGTATGTATTTTTTACATAGTCAATTGTGTCCCTTGTGTTGACTGTCCTTTTTCATTTTTTAAAT